CAGAAATGTTTACTTGACTTAGTGACGTATAGTCACATAGAAAAAATATTTTTTTAAATTACATTGAAACTAAAATTTTTCTTAAGTTATTCATTCGTCTTTATTTCGCCTTTGCATAACTTGATCCACCACTCTGCTGTTCAACATTCCAAACTGAAATCGATTCTCTTCATAAGGGATGCGTTGATGTTTCTCTTCGCTTGTTTTTAAAGCCTAACTCATCGGTATTCCTGTACCCAATTCGACTCAGCTTAGAGCACTGAATTAGCTGAAACCACCCGAGTTTTGGCGAGCTGTTTAGGCGAGCAAATTAATTTAAAATTTACACAGTTTGAGGTGAAATTGACATCAATCGGTAGTATATAGTTGTATGGAATTATGCTTGATCTCTGGATTATCACTTATAGTGCCATGGAGATCACATAAAATTCTGACCTGAATAATTTTGGTTTCCAAAGAAAACTGTGGATGTGAAATTTAACCTCCTCGAACTGTGTAATTTGCCAATTGCGAATTCATTCATAGAGGAAAATTAATCCTAGACAGGTTTCAGGCGTGATTAAATGTTTCTTTGGCAAACCTTAAACTTTTGCTTACACTCAGCAACACTGACTGTCACCATATCGCAGGGTGGTACTTTCCTTTGTTGAGTGGCATAGTGTTACTGTGAAAAAAGCATTAAGAAAGTATTCACTGAAACTCACTAACCCCTATAAGAACTTATGAAAGTTTTTTTTTGAAGTGAAGATATGCAAAACTTTGCGCATAGCTATCATGCGATTTTCCCCGGTCAAGTTTAGGATCATATTATGTGGCAGTTTTGCACCGATTCCTAGTTTGAAGATATCAAATAAAGTGAACAAATATAGTAAAAAAAAAAGCATGTAACCAATTTGTACATTCGTTGACTATTGGCTTGAATGGCGTAGAGGAATTTAAATTCCGTGGCTGACCACAGGCTGTAAATCGCTCACAATAGTGCAAACGTACACATCTTTCCTCCCCTTCAGTGGGATCCAATATTCACATTTCGTCCCATGTAAAGTCTTATCTGCCGGATGTATCTTCATCCAAGTAAGTGGTGTTCCCATTGAAGCTTGAATCCAACACCCGTCATTTCAAACATCTAGAAGTTATCCATTAGTCAGCTGAGCCTTGAGAGTCAACTCTTGTCCACTGAGTATTGGTTGTTATTTATTAAAATTATTTTAAATTTCCCTTTTAAAGTATGTTTATGTGTCGACAGAGAGTGGGTATTTTAGCTCAGTTAAACTAACTAATGAGAAATTCAAAATAATTTCAATATATGAGTTCGTTTTTAGAGATGTTTGTGTTTTCAAGCTTGATCACGAATTGACATCAGTATGATGAGGATCATTGAAAGCCAGGGAGTAGTGGACTCATCACCAGTACGCGCCTACCGAGTTGACTCCCAGTGACTAAATGGTATGTGAGCTTATATCTTATGGCAGCAAAGTCCTGGGTTCGAACGCCACACTGGATGCGGTGATCCTGGTGAGTCCCAAACTAGGACGAAACAGCAGCTGTCCAGCACTCCCTGGCTTTCAGTGGTTCTCTAACTGATATCAATGTGGTGGTAAAAGTTTACATAACAGGTGAAGTTGATTCCTTTTGCTTTTTGAAAACTTGTGCTGTGGTGTAGTTACTAAGGTGCTAATTATGGTTAAGAAATATGAAACATCTGTGGGACAGGCATTCCTGCTTATATTACTAATTACCCTCTATTACCCTTTTGTTTATTGTGTTTGTTTTTAAAACTCTCTGCCCAGAGTCTATTTCACGGCTATGCCCATATGAAATTCTTCTCAAGCCTTCACTTAACAATTCATCATCATACTATTTACCACTATGCAGAAATAGTTATTTTTGCTTTGGAACACGGGCTTTTTTTTCAGGTCAAAACAAATTATTTCATTAATGTGAATTAAATAAACATTCTAAGCCTGTAATTATTATTATTATTATTTCACACATAAGGGCATTCATAGGAAGCGGTGAGTAATCTTCCTTCTGTTGACCAAATTCTAACGTTTATCACTGAATCAAAATTATTATTTCAGTGAGTGTCACATTACACCCCCAGTGATCACATTTCATATTTTGTTAATAGATTTCAGTCAACCTTTAAGGCAGTAAATAGGGTACATTGATTTTTATTCGGTTTGCAATTTTTACATAAATCGTATGTTACTACAAAGAGTAAGTCTGACTCGAAGCAGCCTGTTGATAAAGTCTCCAAATCGGTGTAAGGCAGTTAAGTGGATGGGTGAGGGTGTTGATAAATGATATGGGTATGGGTGCAAATGGAAAAATTAAGCTGCCCCAAGGGTTGTGTTAGCCAGCACAATATCTAGGTGGTGATTTGAATTTCTTCTGACTGTCTCCTCATATTTTTTCTTCCTTTACGTTCCCCAGTGGAACACAGGATGACTTCAAGCTAGTGGCTTGAAGTTTCTGTAGAAGTATTTATTTTTATAGGATGGGGTTGCTAGCCTCATGCCCAACTTTTCCTCTTTACCAGGATTATTTCTGGCCTAGCGAGGTAAAGGAGTGTGTCAGTGGCTGGGGATCGAACTCCTGACCATGTGCATGGTCGGTGAGCGTCCTTACCGCTATGCCACCTCACTATCCTTCAACTAAGATCAATAATTTGCATAAAAGTTGTTTTAGCCAGTGAGTGCTATCTTTTGAGATTATCTTACAAGTTGATGTTATTAATCGTTTAATTTTGGATAGTTGTGCCTTTCTTGTTGTTACAATTTTTCATGATGTTTCGATAGTTTTATTTTTACTACAGAGTTGAATGAATTAATTGCAATTCATTCTTGTTTTTTCTTTCTCTATTGTTCTGTATCTAACACACACACACTTTTGCAAAAAAGCACATCATTGCACTGTACAGACTTTTTTGGAAGAAATAAAACTGTTTTTTTTATTCGATATTTTGGATACTGGTCATTTCTCTACCTTCTATATTCTCTATTCTATAAATCTGCCTTCACTGTTTTTTCTCCTCACTTTTTATTCGATTGTGTAAAATCTTTCCTTACTCTGAATATGTATGTTAATTAACAGTCATTAGTAGTTATTAACATGGTTAATATTCCTCTTCCCTCCCTCCTACGACCTCACCACTTCCCCCCTCCAACACACACACACACACGCAGAACACAGTTCCATCAAAATTATAATTTCCAATTTTACAAGATCCACTTATTCTTTTTTCTGTTACATGTATAATTGTTATTCTCTTTCAATAGTATTTGATACATTATTAATCTAGGTCCTGGATGGGCTTGTCTTGCTTCTACGGGCACACAAATCCGCACACACTATGGCCTAGATATGATATCTGCATGTGTGTGTGTGTGTGTGCAAACTATTGGAAAAAAGCGAAACATATTCTGCACAAGTATTCCCTTCTGTCGTTAATGTTTCAATCAAAAATTCATTAACTGTGCATGTTCGTATGTTTGTGTCTGTGTATTTTGATCTGTGATTTTTTCATCTTGGCTCTTTTTTTGCACAATATTCAACTTGTTTTTGTCTTCATTTAATGATTACACAAATTGTATTTTTGTTTGTTTGTGTAGTATTTATTTTCTGAAGAGTGGGCAAAACTGAACATACTTACTAAAAAAGATATTGGAACTAAGCCAATGAATTAACCAATCATTTCTCTCTCTCAACTGCAGTACTTTCTCTTTGCTTGTTTTCATTTTAATCGCGCTGAATTAATTTATTTCTTTAAAAATAAATTACATCAAATTAAAGTGGTGTATTTGTTAGGTGTGTATGGTGGTTCAGCGTTAGAATAATCGCTGTGAGTCTGGGGCTCGATCACCGACCAATTCACTCACTCTTTAACCTCTCTTATCCGTGTTTCACACTTCATCAGTCAGCTTTATGAATTACACAGAAGATGATGGTGCATGTAATACAAATTAGTGGGGAAAACTAACGTCAACTGATTGTTGTTAACTGGTAGAAATTCTGAATATATAGAAGAAAATGTAGTTTTGTGAAGAGACTCGAAAGTCAAGTGGCTTATTTTCATTCACTTAAGTTCATTAAGACTGATATTATCACTCAAAGAGACATACTTATCAAATGACTGTATTTTAATCGAACTCGAGAAATATTTTAATTATCTATCATGATAATTCTTTTTGTGTACTATCAGTTATCTAAAGTAAACATACTGTACGTATGTCAATTTTCACTGATACGTATATATTTCCATGATAAGATGTGCTTTTTGTTGTGATGGCCAAGTTTTCACTGGTTTTGAGTAGTGGGTTTCACCTATCGTAAAGATGTGTCATAAGCACTCAACCTTTAACCGAATGGCTCCTGCGTCCTACCGTTCTCTTGTTCTACCTGCTTCAACTTAGGCAATAGAATTGTGCGATCAGTTCTCACATAATTAGGGTGTGACATCATAGTCTGAGGTCTTTTCTGTATAGGGATGTAAACTTCACTGTACCTACCTACCTGTCTACCTACCATGAACTGGATGACTCACATATGGTAGGTGTGGTTTACTGTCAACTGCCGGGGTTCGATCCCCGGCCACAGACGCACTCCTTTACCTCGCTAGGCCAGAAATAATCCTGGTAAAGAGGAAAGGTTGGGCATGAGGCTAGCAATCCCATCCTATAAAACTAAACACTTCTACAGAAACTTCAAGCCACTAGCTTGAAGTCATCCTATGTTCCACTGGGGAACGTGAAGGAAAAAAAATCCACTGATGTGCAGCTAGTTTCTCAAAATGTGTATAATGCTTTAATCTGACTTGAATGTGTATGCAGTGAAACAGTAAAAATATCACTATCTCAGCGTTAAAAATTATTTCGTTCATAGTAAATTAAACGGTTTAATTTGTTAGTATATATATGTATATATATATAGAGTCTGTTTGTTCTCTTATTCGACAATTCTCATATTCATCTATTTCATTAAATCTACTTCTCACTTAGTGCTCATCTAATCAAACAAATGGTTACAAGAATACTAATGATGTCTGTCATAAACAGTTGTATACTTTGCCTAAAAAGAAACCAATAAAATGTAATAATGGATCAAGTATTGCTGATCATACTATGAGTAGTGAAGAGGACAATATTCATATTGTTACTACTCATAATAGTGATAATGATGATGGTGACAATGACAATGACGATGATGTTGATGATGATGGTGATAATCACGATGACGATGATGAAGATGATGAGGATGACGATGCTGCAATAACTTCCACTTGTGGTTATTGTGATGACAATGATTCAATAAACTGTGAACAAGGTTAGCTAATGCATTAATTTGTTTAATATAATCAATTCATAAACTTATTTCTAATGATATATCACCTCTTAAAATATGATTTAGTTGATGGTGTATCTGAGGCTTTTAGATTTGAATATCTAATTGAATAGTAAAAAGCGGTGGATGGAAGCCCTTAGTGGTGATAGCGGCTACATGCACATTTTGGCACTTTTTTAGTAAGGTGTAGTTAAGAATCTCAATAGTGCAAACCTGTATAATCCATTAAGTGAAGTTATGAGCTGTATAACTGAGTTGTGTGTACTACAGTCATCTTTAGATGTCAAGCATTCAAATAACATCTGTTGAAAGTGTTTTGTGGCGGTGAGCAAGTTATTTTTTTAAAGCTGCTTGAAATATTATATATATAGTAGATCTGGTCAGTGGAATTTAGGAAGAATAAGTGATCAGTTAACCTTCAGTGAGTGTATTTACTTTCACCGTACACCAGAAAATCAGTCATCTAGGCCAACCAAGACAAATACATGAGATTAAAAAGTTGACAGTACTCTCATAATATTATCTCAGAATGTTATAGTTCACAGTCTATTTGTCTAGATAACTCCAAAACATTTGACAGTACAAAACGTTTTCTACATCATGGCTAATAAGTGCAAAAAGAGTCAGTGTGTAGGGCATTTGATTTGTTTCAAGTTTTTAACCATAGACTGATGTCATTTAAAGAACCACTGAAAAACTATCAAGGAGTACTGGTCAGCTGTTTCATCCTAATTTGGGACTCTTTGGTAGTACGCGTTTGCCGCCAGGTTCCGAACCCATGACCTACTTGTTACAAGGCCAGCTCATAGAACATTCAGCCACTGGGACTTGACTCAACGACCCATGAATTCTAACTTCTATCAATTTGTGACTTTACAGAGGCTAACACCAGCCCCTATCTTTGGTGAGTATTCTCCTCACTCCCGACATGATGGACTCCACTGGTCCATGACCTCTCACTAGAGCTCCTGGCAACTTTCTCCTGTAGACAGTCGATGGCGAGCATCAGATTACTTTCCAAGATTTAATTTGTAGAGATTTGATTTGCTTCAAGCGTGACCATGGATTGATATCATTTAGAGAAACACTGAAAACCAACAAGGAGTACTGGTCAGTTGTTTCGTCTTAGTCTTCGGAAATCTTCATCAGCCCGCATCTACCAGGATTTCAGTATTTCTCTGTATGATATCAATCCGTGGTCAAACTTAAATGAAAGGAATTTAAAGCTTTATTTCATAACTGACAGGAGTCTTACAGTTGGCCGTCATGAACTCAGGTTCTCATACATGGTGTCTGTGTGTGTATGTGTGTGAGTAAAGTCATAGATTATGAAAGTGAAATGAAACAGAGTTATCCGGTCTATACACTTGAATTATTATTGTTATTGAATTCTCCTCTACATCATATTATGCATAATACAGTAAGAAAGAGACTCTGAGAAATGATAATCATGTGAAATCGATAATTAACGCTTGTTTATCTTTTTTTCTAAATTTTTTTTGTTTTGTGTTGTATTGTACATGTTGGTGAAAAAAAAAACAACAATAACAACAAAAACTATTAACAGATTGTGTGTAAACGATGCCTGTGTTTCAGTCTAATCCAGTTACCAAATGGTTTTTTTCCTGTTTGGAATCTAACTAACACTTGTTGATTCTATTTATGTATATAGATGACAAAAAATTTGATAATCATTTAATTGAATAAAATACAAACAATAATGATGCAAAACACTAGTAATATGTTATTATGTATATTATTGTTCAATTGAATTTGTAGGTCGTATTTTGACCATGACCATGATTCACCGTCTAAATATCTATCAGAATATGGTAGCTTCTTATGCAGTGAATGTGGGTTCAACCGTTACAACCATAATCGACTTGTGGTGGCCTGACCGCTGGGAACCTCTGACACAGCTTCCTTGACACACAAACATACAGTCTCAAAACGCTGCAAAGCCTGTAAAATTGTTGTTGTTTTTTTCCTTCACGTTCCCCAGCGGAACATAGGGCTTCAAGCTAGTAGCTTTACCAGCATTATTTCCGACTCAGCGAGGTAAAGGAGTTCGTCGGCCGGTGATCGAACCCCTGGTCATGTGCATGGTCGGCGAGCGTCCTAACCGCAATACCACCGACGCTCAAGGCTGTAAAAAGACAATCATCTCTCAGTATACATTGCGCGAAAGTGAAACCACACCATCAAAGAATACCTCGGCTTCTGAGTCGCTTCAATCAGGCTGTTTAATCTAAAATCATAGCTGTTTTGAGTTCTGGTCCACCCAGAAACGATAGTGCCAGTTTTATGCCATCAATGAATTTAGGCTTCGAAACGGCCTCCTGTATGGTCTCCAGTGAAGGAAACTATAAGTACACTTTTCTTTTCCGACAACCAATACCGATTGGGAACAACTTCCGTAAACTACCAAGATTACCCTGTGAAGTTTTGAATCATTATCTTTGGGCCATCTGGCGTATTCTGAAGTTTAGCCTTCTGTATCACTTTAGCTTGCATAGCCCAATGTATACCAGCAAAAGTATTTACTGAAGCTTTCTATCGGAGTTCTCTTCACATTTCTAACTACTGAAGATGTACCAGTTTCTTTCACCTGTGAAGATTACTTTTGTCCTGAGTAAAATCATCCTTAATCCTGAGTTGTTTTATAGTGTCTTTATCCTTAAGAACCTTTCATTCGAAAATAAAGATTATTAACCAATTTAAACGCTTTTGAGGTTTCGTCCTGCAGTTATTTAAGTGAACATGAACTGGGTATGACAACGTTCTTCACTTCTTTAGAGGCTTTTATTCTTAAATTGAAAGTATATATTAAAGATGGCGGTATCTGAATCACAGGATCATACAATTTCCCATCATCATCGAACAGGTTTAACAGGCCCATCGCTCTTTGTAAGAATCGCATTTTAGCTTCCTGTTTAGCCTAGAGCTTACGAAATTACCTTTCCATTTTTTGTCTAAACTTACCTATGGCTAAAGTTAGATCTAATATCATCACTAATTAGACTCAAATAAGAGCTATGACCTGAAAATGGTAAAAAAGGGACTTGCTGCCTTCCTGGAGGTGCAATCAATGTTGTCATATTCTCCTTCTTCACAACATTATCCGTAGATATCTTCATTGAGCGTCTGCCAATCATAATGTCACTGTGTGTTGAGAATTCAAGGCTTTGATGGTACTGATATATTCGGAAGGAACATCAAAGGCTGTACACTAAATTCTCTGGATGATGTTACGTTCTTTGAGTGGGACAGTTTAATTCTGAAAATGTCATTGTCTTCGTTTCTAACTTCAAAATAAAATGGGATTATATTCGCTGATTATCTTGATTGCGTTATGATTACCCTTGAGATTTTCCCGAAATACTCAATATAATGAATACAGGTGAATCGGTTCGTATGACTATCTATAGGAATTGCTATTGATGGTAGAATTCATCAGGAAAGATGTTTATTTCATTCATGGATAATTGCAAAGAGATGAAAATACCATCTAGATGAGTGATGATGAAAGCAATCTCAACTAAGTTATATAGCTCACAGGAAACAATAGTACCAAAAAATAAACATTCATGTAAGCTACAAATCTCCATTATTTCTAAGATATTATATTCTCCGATAATATCTTCCCGAAGAAGTTCAGACCAGTTTATCACCAAACGAAAAATTTCTATTATTTTGCAAGAGTTGGTTTGTAAGGATTAGATTTGTTTTTATAAGTTTGACCACGGATTGATATCAGTTAGAGAACCATTGTAAACCAGGGAGTATTGGACAGCTGCTTCATTCTAGTTTGGAAATTGTCGGCAGTACGCACCCACTGGGGTTCGAACCTAAGACCTTCTGGTTACAAGACAAGCTGGCTCGTATACCATTCAGACACTGGGACCCGATTCAGTGGCCTGCCCTTGAATTATAACTTCTAACAATTCATGACTCAGCACAACCCCAACCAGCATCGTCGGAGGGACATCCATCCTCACATTCGACTGGATGGACCTCATTGGTCACGACTTCTCACTAGAACTTCAGGAAACTCCGTCCTCTAGCAAGTCACTAGCGAGCATCAGATTTCAATGGATTTCAATTACGATGAGATTTATACATATATATTATACATGTGTCTCCACTTGTATTTGAATAATAATTATTATTCAATACACTCGTAATTTGCGTCTCCGCGTGCCAAAAAGCTGTTGTTTGATCGCATTTCCTTAGGCATCCTATGAATTAGGACTATGCAACTCCATGTTATTTATATACAAGGCTGAATTCAGTCCCTTTCAGAGTATTCCTTTTTCATCACTTCGTTGAGTCACTAGTCCTTCTTTCACTTCATCATTATTCAAAGAGTTGATGCTTAGAATTCATTTCTTTGAAACTCATAATTTGTGATTATATATATATACAAAAACTAGTTGAAAAGTAAACAGTAAGTATATCGATGAATAAGTTTAATTTGTGAATTTAAAATTATTCTCTTTTCTATGTACTTAATTAATCAAACACAGTCAATTAAAGTAGAAGAGTTTTAAAGGATAGATTAATTCTAAAGTAGTTTTTTTCTGCATCACGAATCAGTATCCAGTATGGAATGGTTAGCATTTAAGAAGTTTGCGACAGGTGTTTCATCCTATTTGAGCTCCCTCTCTCTCTCTGGCCAACCTAAAGAATAGCGATTATGGAGTGTGAATGTACTAATGGCACCTTGAACGTATACTATTCATGGGGTTACAGAACCTGCCGTATATTACAGCTCCAGTGTGAACTCCGTGCAGGAAGTGTCTCGATTGCGTCTTTAAGTACCGTTTGGATAGTGGGTTGATTGCAATTTAGGGTAAGGATTAGTATAAGGATTTTGTTTAGGGCTACGCTTAAGATGAAAGTCAAGGTGTTTTATTACTATTATCTTATATTCTTCTTGTAAATAAATAAGTGGGAGGAGAATGTTTCCTTGTTCATATGTATGAAACCGTGTAGAAACTTGAAAACTGATACCCCACAGGGCATTTGAGAAGTACTTTTGAGTTACATCAGCGAAAAACCTCTTCCTCTAATACGTTTCATTATTATTATCACCACCATCCGTATTTTTCTCCTAAATAAACGGCTGTTTATCACTGATCTTCTCAAGGCCGCTCGTCCGTTCGCGCTCCCTGGTCTCTGTTCTTTATGACTTTCCACTTTTCTCATCAACCATTTGCATCCTTGCCCTGTTTGAGAGCTCAGTAGGTTTTGCAGTGAGTATGTTAATCCGATGATCTGCGGTGTAACCACTAAATCTCACCAATATGTTACCGTTTCCAGGCCTAAACTCTGGTTATCTTCACCGGTCACGGCATCTTCTTGAATGCAGCATTCGGTTCATTCTTACTTGGATTGTGTATGTGCGGGGTAGTGGAATCGCTTTACATCCAAATTAAGTTGTATTTCAAGACTTTCATCGATAAAAAATCATGTTAGCTGCACTAGTGAACTTCAATTTTGAGGGGATGTGTTCACGAAGTGTAATGACAACCTTGATGTCAAACTGTTTAGCTATAAAGAACTAATTTAGATTCTGTGTTTTTCTCTTCATCCTTTTATTGATTTCGACCCATGTTGAAAACTACTTCATAATACTAATAAATTTCTTTATTCATTGAATAATCTTTCTGTGTGCTTTTTTATGTTTTATAATGAATTTTATTTAGTTGGACCCTACTGTACCACTACTACTTCTACTACTACTTCCGCTTCAATGATAGTTGCTGATTCATCATCAAGTCTAACTGATGTCAAACACCTTAACACTAAAAATCACTTATCAATGGAAAATAGTCCTGTACTGAATGGTAGTATGACAAATTCAGATCCTCTTAAGTCTACTCCTAGTAGCACCGCTGCTGCTACTACTACTACTGCTATTAATACTACCGTCACCACCACTATTTCTACTAACAACAGTACTAGTGACAGAACAAAGACGACTGTTCCTGCTAACGCTAACACTACTGCAACTATTCATACTGTCAGCCCTACTACCACTACTGTTACTACTGTCACCACTTCTACTGGAGATAATGGGCGTACTACCTCAGGTCTAAATGCTTTCTCTTCCTATTCTTCTTCATATCCACCAACCACATTCCCATCTTATCGCAGGAGACGTGGTGGTGGTGGCGGCGGTGCTGGTGTTATGGGTATGAATTCTACCAGTGGGAGTACGAATAATAAAAGTAAGTGATTTCATGAAACATGATTGATATACAGTCATAGGAGAATTTTTTTCATTCCATTTTCAGCCAATGTATTATTTTTTCTTCCAGATATCGTCTGTATTTTATTCCTTTATTAATTAAATATTTCTAGATTTATGTAATGTGATCTAGCGGAGGAGATAGTACAATCTGGTTCGTGAATTTAATGGGATTATTATTATTATTTCCTTTAATTCCTAGAAGAACATAGGATTTCAGCCACGCATCTCCATTACGTTCGATTCTTAGCTAGAGTTTTCACCCGGCCCACATGTTTTCATCTCTTCTTCACATGACCTCCTCCAAGTCACCCTTGCACTGACGACCAACTCGCCGCCCGCTTCCCTTTCGGGTTACACTTGAGCGATGGCTTGTCTAGTGATGTCACTTGATGGTTTCCTCAGAGTATGGCCAGCCAATCCATCTCCATTTCTTCCTTCATATTTGTTGCACAATCGGTTCCTGCTGTGTGGGTTCGCTCATTGCCAGAGATCCTTGTTGCTGATCTTTTCGGACCAGTCATCTGATTTAGAGTGTTGAGCAAAGACAACTGTTAATGAAGGTCTGTAGTTTGTTCGAGGTGCTCTTTATGACGCGCAGTGCAAGTCTCTGATCCATATAGTAGCACTGGCTGACTTCACATTGGAGTTGAAAATCCGGATCTTATTTTCATTTTCATGCTGAGTGCTAATGATCTCCACACAGACTTGAGAGTAATGGAAGCTTGTCTTGCTTTGATATCCCCGTCAGTTTCATCAGGCTGTAGTTGAAACGATGCTTCCTAGGTGGGTAGGTAAAGGAGGTTGTTTCTTTCAGGTTCCTCCCATTTATGCTGGCTGATTGTTGTCTGTTGTTGCTGTTGGTGTTGGCCAGGAATCTTCATCACCTCTGTTTTATCTATGTTCACTTGAAGTTCGATCTTCTCTGGATGCTTCTTCTGTTGCCAGCTTGTTGTTTTTCACTTGCATATCTTCCAGTTTGTGGGAAATCAGACATACATCATCGGCGAAGTTCAGATCCTCCAAATTTTTACTCCTTCAAAATGACTACTACTACTGATACAGACAATATGTGCCAACGAAATATTATTTTAACATATTCCCACACTTCAATTCGACATTAGCAACAGATTACGATATATCTGTTTGATATTCTGTTTGATGTTAGAAACAGAATACTTTTCCCATGGTTATATATTGCATTAACAAAAGAATACTATGTATATTTGAACATTCTATTTAATGGTGTCTCATGTAAACCAAAATTACACACTCAGTGATTGGTTAAAGAATATTATATATATATATATATATATATATATATATATATATATATATGAACAGCGGTTTCATCAATGGAAAATGAACTTTGGCTTCCGTGTCTTACCATCTGCTGTGACATTTGGTGTCGCTGTTTGCCGACAAACGATAAGCCTATGCCCTGCAGTTTTTGATGGAGACATATTGATCTTCGGGCAGGACTACAAAACTGTTGCACAGTTGAGTGGTGTTCAAGATCTATCAGCGATAAAGCTGCTACTTGGAACGCTGCCGGGAGGTCGGACGACGACAGCATATGATAGTGTGAGGCGAAAAACCGGCGAATACGAGCCAGGGTCATGCAAACTGCTCCCAAAGTGAGAATGACCATACATGGTCCCCATGAGACGGAGTCACGTATATACGATCAGAAATGCAAACAACGAGGAGCGGGTGAACGTCAGCTAGCTCCGGAACTCGATACAGCCTGACAAGCTAACAAAGCCGCCAGCACCAAGAACATCGAATCGACTCCAGTGGAAAGCTTCTGACGGGGGGGGGCGAGTGTGGTGGTGTGATACAGACAATGTGTGCCAACGGAATATTATTGTCACACATTCCCACAGTTCAATATTGCATTGGCAACAGAGTACAATATATCTATTTGAACATTCTATCTCATGTCGTTTGACGTAAACCGAAATCACACGCTCAGTGATTGGTTAACGAATATAAACTGTAGATATGTAAACAGCGGTTTGGTCATTGAGAAATATACTTTTGCTTCCGCTGCTATACTACCACTACTAAATGAAAGGGTAGTTATGAAATACTCAGAGCTACACATGTACACACACCGTTAAGAATGCATGGTGTTCACTACGCCTAAATGAATATTCTATAGTTTTTTGGATATTTATTACCAGAGTACAGTATAAAATTTCCATCTGATATTCACAGTAAGTAGAAATAAGTTTGCAGCCAATTAATTTGTTAACTAAAACATTAAACTAACCAACCAAATAGTTTAACACTATTGGAGTGCGTTAACTTGTATTTTGCTAAGATTGCCTGGTTGTTTTTCATAATTAAAGGTGACAGTGTAGTGGAATGAGGGAGAAATCATTAGAATGAATTCGTACTGCTGTTAGAAAAAGTTTTCAGATTATTTTTTATTTTTTTGAAAAAGTGCTGTCTTACGTTTTTGGTGGTGTGCAGCTAGTGTTAAAGGTTTTCATACGGTTGAAATGTCATGAACTCGTATGTCTGTAAACGGAATTGTGCGTGATTCACCTTAATTACAAGTTATTCTGGGATCTTGATTCAGAAAAAAAAAAATGCAGTTATTTCTCAAGTATAACAATAGAACATCAATGCTGAAAAAAGTGAGAGTGATTAATCAAAGTAGACGATCCCAAATAAGTTCATCTCTGTCTACAAGTTACCCGAAGAAATCCTGAAAACCATAGCGTATTATAATAGCTACTACTTCACCCTGTCTGTCTGTCTGTCTGTTTTCGACATAGAACTTTGCACAAATGTGCGGAAGTTCAAGTCGCCACATTCCGTGTAGCACGCGAAGCAAGAGAAGAAAGTACAAGAAAAGCATAATAGAAACAGTGAGCAGAGGTGTGAGACAAAGGAGTAATAAAGAAATACAAAACAGTTTCATTGAAGATCATAAGTCACAGGGAGTGGATGCATCTGCGCCACTGAGAACGATTTTGAGCCATGTCACCAATTGTTTCCAACCATAGATTTTTACCGTCCCGAGGACCCCAACCAGCTATGAAGTCTACACCTTCCTACGTGACTGGCTTAGACCAACTGTTGTGGATTTCATTGACTGATGGGGCCAAGTTTTTGTTTGACTGCCGCTAGCTTTTTTCCAGCCTGACCCTATATCCGCTACTTCACCCTAGTTTGCCACTACTCAGCAATACTCAGCTAAATACTAATGCTGAATCATGTTACAAGAACATCATGCAAGGCTTACAAAGTTTTAGGTCAATGAGTCAGATTATAAATCTGTTATCAGCAGTAGTTTATATATGCGTTATACATACCTATCCACCGTTAGCCTCAACGCCCTCCGGTAATCAGAGTAACAATGGAAGCAAAACTAATTTAAGCTGATCAGGTGAAAGAGTATATTAAATCTGCGAAGATGCTAGCTATTATTTCAGTCCTATGTAAGTAAAACAGAGTCTGGTTTTCGTGAAAAGATTAAAAAAAAAAAACTGTAAACATCAGTGCTTATAAACAAACTTTAAGGAACATAATTCCTGTCCATTTAAATATTGTCGTGGTCGTTTCTTAACCACTGGTGTTTAACTTGTGATGTATTTTAAACTAGAAATTAATTTATAAATAACGTTTAAAAATCAGTAAGAAAAGATTTCTCTTACCATCTTCTCTGTGTAGAACACATCGTGTCCAACCGCTGACGTTTGTGATTTTTATATTGCCTAAATTATGTTCTGTGTAGGTATGCAATTCATTGGATGAAATATCCAACTGTTAGACAATCGGTCACATAACTTTGAACTCTTCTTCACCTCTCCATTCAGTTTTGCAGTGATCGGTCATTGCTGAATGATGTCATTAAGTCTGTACATGAACAAATTTCGTAACCTAGAGAACACCTAGTAATTCCTGTAGTGGAAACTTTCAACTGAATCACAAAGAAACTTCTTATATTTTGACGGCTGAAACTGATATACGGGAAAATAATAAGAGAGTAATGCACCGACTAAAGCGGTGAGACAACTGTCATATGCGTGTTGGGATATGTGACTGGAGAAGTTCGAAAGGGGTATTCACCTTTGAAGTTGTCCAATGTGTCCACCAGCGGTTGTCGTTACCCTTTTAGGTGATTAGCATTTTGTAGTGACCACGTGTGCAAACACAGACACACACATACAGACAAACAAGTGATTATTGCTACCATTTTTATCCCTTTTTGTCATTCGTTTAGATTATCCAAATTTTCGATCATATAATCGGCCAGTTAACTTTGGTAATAATAAATCACTGCAAAACTCAGTATGGAATCAATCATCCTTTATTAGTTCTAAATCGAATTCAGATTATTATCATCAACAGCATCCCGACAGTCTACAAAACGGTAGTATTAATAATAACAATAATAATAGCAACAACAACAACAACCATACAAATCATTACCAACAGCACTATCCATCACCATCTTATCATCAGTCTTATCCAAATCAACATTCTCAACACACGTATCATCATCGTGGTTCTGTTATTACTGGTGGTGTTGGAACAACAACAGCACAAGAATTAGACTTGGACTCTGAAGCAGAGATTGAGAAAAGTGGTATAGCACATCTATCCACATGTTCACATCTTCCAGTTAATATATTACTGCCTACAGTTCAATCACCGTCGGCTTATTTTCCACAATCTGATTGCATTTTAAATTCACAATGCTACGATCATCATCATCATCATGAGCATGATCACCATCACCATGCACATCCTCATCCGCATCATTTACATCAACAATCTACTGAATCGTTTGATGCTTATGTAAATGGTGATACGGTTGGTGCAAATGGTTCAATAACATTGGATAATGATGCTGTCGTAATTAGTACTACTACTAATACTGCTAATCATAATAATAACAACAACGGTGGGGATGATGATTTCAGTTCAACTGCGACAAATAATGCTTGGAGCACTCAAGATAAAATTATTCATAATTTATTATCTAATCTTTTATCACCACAAGTAAGCCTGTGAAAATAATAGTTATTATACACTGTATATATGCATTAATTCCTTTGATTATCAGTCATAATTTGAATTACTTCCGCGCTCAAAATGTGTCCCCTACAATATGCTAGTAAAGCATCACCATGTAACCTCGATAGATAGTTTGAGAGGTGAGATTACAGGTGTTTACTCATCATAAACATCTTTTGATAGATTCACCACTAGACAATGAAATTATGAGCCTTCATCGATTGCAGTGACTAGAGCACGTGTTCAGCACACTTAGCTACTGTCTAGCCCAAAACTCTGTTTTTTCAGAGTTCGGATTAAAGGGGATAAACACGATGTTTTGCTAGATTAAGACGTCGTACTAACTAGTGAATTCTCTGGAAACGTGTTTGAGGGCATAGTTTGTCCGTCTGATACAGATGTTGGAGTTTTTAGGCAATACAACATGAAAATATTGGTCTTAATGGTGCAGATTTACGCATACTTTATTTTCCTAGTCTTTCTTCTATGTTTGTCTTCAAGAATCCTACGAAATTTAACAGTATGAGCTTCATGTATTAACCTGCTAATAATAATAATAATAATAATAATAATAATAATAATAATAATCACTTTATTCCACAACAATAACAATTTACAGCATGGAATTTTCAGCGTTTCTTTTACATATTGCAATGGTTTAGCTCTGTTTATAATTATATAAATATATAAAATGTTAAAATATTGATAGTTAATAGGAAAAAATAATAAATAAAAATAAAAAACCCAACAAAATCATACCATTTCTAGGTCATAGTGAATAATAAATAAATAATATAACAAATAACACTTGCATTAATATGCATCATTACATTTTATAGTTTAGTTACTGATTCAAAAGTTGTAAAAGTTCTTTTCTGATATTTGTCTCTTCACACAATACTCGTGCCAAATATGGAACGGTCGAATTTTTATATTTTGTAGTACGAGCATAAATGTTTATAAAATTTCTTCTGGTCTTACCCGAAGAGATACAAGGAAACAATTGTGAATAAAGAGGATGTTCACTATCAGATAAGATAACTTTAGCTAAGTGTTTACAAGAATTCATATGCCTATTGACAACAGTGTCATTTAGTTCAGTCAAAGGGATAGCACTGACCCTACTTACAGCCCTCAATGTTCTTCGTAGTATTATATGATCTTTCTTGAGTAGCCCAGGGAAGAATAATGGAGAACAATAAAGAATGATGGGCAAAACACATGAATTAATAAATTGTATGATAAGAGATTGAGTTATACCTGAGTGTCTCAACTTCTTTATGTAATAAGTCAGACGGAAAACTTTCTTAGAAACTATAAGAATATGAGACGACCAGCAAAGATTTGACGAGAAACTAATGCCAAGATAAGAAACACTTGACTTACTCTCAATCATGGTACCATCAATATTACAACAATCATGAGATTGAATCAATCCATGCATGTCTTTTTCACTTCTCAAGCTGAAATCAACAGTGTTACATTTAGTTGGATTTAGTTTAAGACCATTTGAGCCAGACCAATCCTTAACTTCAGCTAGGAAGCCATTCATATAGGAACAATCCGATGTGGAAACTACAGGGACAGAAACGGTCAGGTCATCAGCATACTTAATGAAGTTAACTTTGGGTGAGTTCGGAAGGTCATGCAGAAAGAAAGAGAAAAGAAATGGAGAAAGTACTGCACCTTGAGGCACACCACTTTCAGTTAGCTGGGAAGTGGAGCGCTTTCCAGCCAAAACAGTATGCTGTTTCCTATCCTTAAAATAAGAAGACAGCCATCTAGTTGCCCAGGACTCTGTTTGTGCTGAAATCATCTTTCCTAATAAAAGTGTCCTAGGAACAGAGTCGAAAGCTGCAGTATAGTCTAAGAAAGCTGTTCGAACGAACTTAGCGCCCTTATCAAGGCAGGAAACAATATTGTGGTGTAGTACAATGGCTGCATCTAATGTACTTCTTCCACACTTATAAGCAAACTGCTTAGGGTCACTAAAAGCTTTTAAAGAAGGTTTAAGAATATTCAAAAGAAGTTTCTCCATAGTTTTCAAAAAAGGAGATGTTATAGCGACTGGTCTAAATTTTATACCTGCTCCAGAAGATGATTTCTGTACAGGTACAACCTTGATTTCTTTCCAGTCAGCAGGTACCGTTTCCCTCTTAAATGATGCGTTAAAGATTTGAGTAAGAGGATGACACAAGATGTCTGCACACTTTTGGAGAAGAATGCTTGGTACACCATCTGGACCAAGGCTGTGTGTTGGATTTAATGACTTCAAACATAATAGTACATCCTTTTCTTCAAAACCCTGAAAATGACCATTTTCTTGACTAGGTACATCAGGTACAACCATATTAATTTGTTTCTTGATAAATGATTTGTTTAAAGCATTAACATCAGAATAAGCATCAACGGACATTTGTTTTTTACTTGTTAGTTTATTGAAAAGTTTCCAAATGTTTGAAGGATTTTTACATGATAAAAATTTTTCATTATATAGTCTGTTCAACCTTTCTATTTCAATTTTTATAAGGGTGTTTATTTTACGGACACCAGTATTATCACAATTCTTATACAACTTCTCTTTTTGTCTTCTAAGTTTTTTCAGTTGCACAGAAGAGATTCTGTCAAATCTCGAAAACAGTGTTTCATAAGGACAGCAAATATCCAAACAAAACTTCAGATAATCGGTTATATTAGAGACAGTAGCATCCAACTTATCGTCAGTAAACAGTTCCCAGTTGGTATCATGCAACATGCTTCTTAATGCTAGAATGTTGTCATGGGAATATGAACGTTCATGTATCTTCTTTGTTAAATGACTAAACAATTTTCGTTGTGACTTGCCGTACACTTTCGGTAAAATACGAATAATGCAGTGGTCAGAATTTAGCAAAGGAGCTCTCCTTCGGGTTTCATATACATCACGGTCATTTATGAAAACCAGGTCTAGTGATTTGTCCAGACGTGTATTAAACTTGACTAGATTCTCATGACCAAGCGAAGTAAGAAAGCTGTGATCACATAAATTAAAATCACCACAGACTATAGACAACGAGTTTCCGAATGCAGGAGCAGCGAATTCAGTAAACTCATCTGCAAACATAACTATATTAGAAAGGCTACAATTGGGTGTTATGTAAATATTTGTTATGTATATATAAGAATATTTACTTAAGTGTTTTGGGCGACACCTGACGGTTATGCAATCTATATTGTCATTAGAATAATTGAAGCAAACGTGATTTGATGTAGACCAATTTGTGTTTATATATGTGGCTACCCCTCCTCCATATTTTTTCTTGGAACTATTTCTATCTTGGCGAAAAACTTTATATCCATTTATTGAAATTAGATTATCATCATAATGCTGGTGCAGCCAAGTCTCTTGTATTGCTAAAACGCCAGCATTTCGATAAACATTGGAATACATTAGGGATTGAAGGTAATCCATTTTGTTGGACAGGGATCTACAATTAGTGCTAACGAGTTCAGGAACAGTCATTTGATTAATTTGTGTACGTTTCAGTGCACGCTGCCAGCCACAGTGATGCTTTTTTCTCAATTTTTGTGGATGACACAACGCGGTAGGTTGTAATGATTTTAAAAATGCGCGATTATATATAATACGATTAGGACACATTATTGATAAATTAAAACAAAATTAAAAGAGCAAACCAAAGCAATTTTGCAAAATGTTGTAAGGTGGAATTTTTGGTAGCCCTATGTTCAAGCAGGCCGCCGTTTTTTTTTAACTTATGTGCAAATATGATCTCTTACCAGCCTACTCGTCTGCTTACTAATATTTGGTTTTTATTATCGATAACATCTGTCAGTTTGTTTACTGCAAACTACTTTGAAATTTCAATATAAAAAATCCCCATTTAGACATTTAGAAAACAGAAAGATTGAGCAGTGAAGAAGTATTTACTTTTCAATTAGATCCTCATCTCTGGCTCCATTCTAATATATATAGCATTTTTATTACTACAATACACAACAATTTACCAATCATCAAGTGGCACTGATATGTTTGTTTGTTAACAATAATTAGTCAGTCAGTGTCAAAATGTCAATGGGGTGATAATTAACGAAGAAAATCAATACACATTTAAAAGGTAGAAATGGTTAGAATAAATTAATTTAATTTTACAAGGATAACACGTGAATTAAAGATGAAGTGGTCAAAATAAATAAAAATAAAATAAATAATTTAGAAAATTATAATTTTTATAGGTTTAGGGGGGTGGGGGACGAAGTGGTCCTGTTTATGCATTCCTGTGACGATGGCAACGGTAGGGAAAGTGGCTGTACAAATTTTTTTCTGAACACATTGGCTTGCCTTCTTCAGGTGAATTCCGTCTACTTCAGCTGTCTGTAGAAGACGAACTCGCAGAGCAAAATGAAGATAATTCGGAATGCGATAAATAATTTTAAATGCAGTATTCACATCAATCTTATGCTCAGTATCAACGAGGTGGGCTAAAATAGAACTACGAATAGATCTTGTTTATCCTTTGCTTAACCACGTTGGAGGATGTTCGGAAATACGATGATGAAATTCATTAATCCCTTGGCTGAATTTTACAAATGCTAAGCTAAAATCAAGTCAATCTGTTATAATGTTTCACAATACTTTGAGTTGGACATAGATGCCCTGATCATGAAAATACCGCTTGATTAAGTCAAAAGCCTTATACGACATTTCCTCAGCCAGCAGAGGAGCAGAGAAAGGACAAATATTAGTGCATGATAACATAGGTTCATTTTGATTTTGTTGGTCTTCATCAGCTGCACGCAACCTATAATCTTTGATAAATAAAAGTCGGTAAAATTTAACACACTTGTCTATCAACAAGCATATTATAAGAGTGTCATGGTAAGATGAAACATCAGGATGACAAAGTAACCGAAGTGTAAATACATATATATATATATATATATATATATATCTTGGAGAGAGGTTTCTAGGAAATAAATGAATAAAATAGATCCATGTTATTCTTTGCTAATATTTGTTCTTTCTCTGCTCAAAATAGTGGACGTTATTTCACAGAGGTCAATTCTGACTGGTGAATTTCCAGACTAGGAATCCATCGCTTACGTAGGACAACTCTGATTGGTTAATTTCCAAACTGGGTATCGATCACCATATTACCGATAAGGGTTAATCCAACCATCTAATAGCAAGAATTCAAAATGCACTGTGATGACGAGCCGACTAGCACGGTGGCCACATTGTAAACTTGACTGATAGAACTCAGTTTGCTGTAAACAAAGGTCTAGACAAATGATATTAGTTAGTCTCTAATCAAAGGATAATCCATTGTTTATCCGTTCACATATTGAAATTTCAGTTAACTTCTTCAGGGCTATAATCTGCTCAGTGTTTAAATTTGTAGATCAAATTCAATAAATGAACTCTAAATTGGAAGTCTACGTCACGTAGTGAGATTTACGCATTAGCTGTTATCAACTAGTCAATGAATTAATGTGTATATAGTTTTTAAGTAGCATTTATTTTTTCAAGCAATACTGATAACATCATGTTCTTACAAAGCTGAAATGTCAGAAAGTTGTGTATACATTTCCTGTTAGCCTTTATAATTGTCAATATTTTTCTCTCATTTTTTTTCTACTCAGGTTACAGAAGTTAAATCGCATAGTGCATTAATTCAACTATCATTCCCCCAAGATTTAATTCATTCATCTATTGAAAAAACAGAAATAGAAACAACAACCTCGGTGTCATCATCGTCATCAACAACAACAACAATAGCTACAACTAATTCAGAGATTTCATCATCCACGACAACTGCGGCATCGATTTTACCCACTGACTCCTCATTATCTTCACAATCTCGAACATTTCTTACAGAAAACAATACTTATACTAATACTACTAAGTCCTGCAAAACTACAAATTCACCTGTAAAAAGTCCACGTCATAAATACAAACCATCAGCATTGTCATCTGCAACACCGAAAATGACCACAACAAAAGTGAATTCATCTAAGTCCGATTTAAATAATGGTATTAGTAACAATAATAATAATGATAATAATACTGATGAGTGTTACAATGGTAATCATGAATCGAAAGCCAACAGTAATACAGTCATTTCGAATACTAATGGTATGGATAGTAGTCAACATCAGATTACAATTGACTTGGATGCTATACAGTTTGAATTACACTTAACTGAAAGATGCAGTACACCCCAGTTCAAATGCGTTTTTATGTAAGTTTACTTGTCAATGTTGTCTTCTTTGACTGTAGTTAGTTCTCTTCTCCTATTTTTTTTTTAATCAATGAATATTAAGATAAATTTAGGTGAAACAAAATATAACAAGTAGTCATGCACACTCAGTTTACTTCATGCTTCTATAAAATGATGATGATGAAGACAACCAACCAACCAACCAACCAATAACAACAAGCACCAGTCATTATCAACGGAGGAATTTGAAAGAGGTCCGCTTCCTTCATTAATCTAGGAAGCGTCATCTCAAATATCCTCCCCATGGATAAATGATGTCAAAATCAGCCAAGATTGGAAAGGCATGACAAACCTTCATCTTTCTGAAATAAGATTGAAAATCCTTCTGAACTCAACATAAACAACAAAATTGCGATTTTCAACATCAATTTTAAATCAGTCAATCAGTTCTTCTATATGGGTCAGAGACATGGCCAGCGCATCATAGAAAGCTGATTCAACTGCTGACTACACGATCACCCGAAAACTTCATCTCTTCACACACCCTCCTAATTCGTTGTTTCCCACTTGGCTTCCACTTAAGAGTTGATCTGGTGTACGATGTCTTTCAACGATCTCCTCAGTATGTATCCATCTGTATTTTCTTCAGAATATTTACTGATCAATAGGGTTTATGAGGGATTCGTACCTGGAGTTTCTTTTTGTTGCTAATTCTTTCTGGCCAGTCGATCTTCAACATGGATCTAGATCAGCTGTTCCCCATTGGAAATGGTTTCTGTGACACTAGTGCCAAGTGTGTCTGAACCATATAGAAGCTCTGACCTACTTGACATTAATTTTGATAATTGAGATCTTATTCCTCCTTCGGCTGAGTGCTGTGTGGATTCCCACATTGATTTCAGAGGAGTAAAGGTCCGTCTTGATTACGCAATCCTGCTTTTGATATCCTTATTCGTGCCGCCTGTAGCTGAAACGACTCCGTCTACGTAAGTGCAACGTATGACTTACTTTAGATTTTTCTCTTTGATGATGATCGGTGCTTGCTATTGGTATTGTTGATTAGAGGTCTTCATCACATGCATCTTCTCTATGTTCACTTGAAGTCTTGTCTTTTTCTCTGCTTCTTCTTTTGTCAACCTATTGGTTTTTGCCTGTAAATCTTCTATTCGCCTAATTGTAATACAATGGAATAAAGTGATTAGAAGTCTCTTGTTGTTGTTATTATTGTTAGTGTGTGAGTTGTTTACAACGTATCATTTTTACTGCAGTAGAAAGAGATAAAAAAAAAGAGAAAGAAAGGAAGATAGTACACTGTAATTCATAATTTTGTTTATACCGATATACTGATAGAATTTGATAATTTAATTGATCATCTCACCTGAATTACGATAAGTTTATCAAAACAACAAGCAAAAAAGAGGAAATCAATAGCAAAATATATTTTTTTTCTTTCATACTTCATTCATGTTAAATTATTTGCTGTTGTAGAAATACAACTGTTTACACAGCTATGCATTTTGATGGCGACTAACAGTGTATAAGCAATGCTATATATTGTAGCCTTTTGGAAATGCTTTCTATGATGCTCTGGCCAACTCTCCGACTCATATAGAAGAAATGACTGACTGACTTAATATTGATGTTGAAGCCTCGAATTTTGTTGTTTATGCTGAGTACTGCATGCACTTACCTCTCAATCAGTAGTGAGTGATGTTGCAATTGTTGTCCCTGTAGGTTTTGAGTGGAACACAGAACTTCAACAGCACATCCCCATCTCATCCTGTCCTCTGTAGTCCTTTTTTGGCTGGCCCCACGATTATCCCTAGGCTCAAATCTCCTCCTCACATTATCTGCTCCATGTCAGCCTAGGAACCACGACAAGCTAGTTGTTGCCTATTCGGGTCCCACTCGAGCGAGGGCCTGGTGCGCGATATCACCCAACTGTCTCCTCAGTGAGTGTCCGATCCACACTCATTTTCTTCGGAATATTTGCTGATCAATGCGATTGATGATTGATTCGTTCCCCGAGTTTCTCGTTGATGATAATTCTTTCTGGCCAATTAATCTTCAATATGGATCGAAGTCAGCTGTTGATAAAAGTCTGCCGTAGCCTGTTGGAAATGTTTTTCGCGACGCGCTGGTGAAGTTTCGGACCGAAACTGATTAACTTAACATCGGTGTTGAAAATCCGAATTTCGTTCTATACAGTGCTGAGTGCAATAAATTTCGAAACTGATTGCAGTATGATGAATATCTGCCTTGCCTTTTCAGTTCTGGTTTTGATGTCGTCATCCGTGGGGTGTGCGTGCCTGATCTTTTAGATCCTTTTTATCTCTGCAGCGTATTCCCGTCTTCTTCTACCTTGTGATCTTCCGTATAAAATGCCATACACCATAATTAGGAATATCATTAGTGATAACAGGCAGTTTTGTCTTACTGCTGTATTCAGTACAAAGGCTTCTCTGAGCTTCCTGTTGTGGATCACCTGACACATGGCATTGTCATATGCCTGTTGAATGAGGATGATTAAGGTTCGGGGCACTGCACTCCACTGTCAACGCCGTTGAAGACTTTTTCAAAGTCGATCAAGTTGTAGTAGATATCTGACTGTCATTCTCTGCTGTCTTCAATGGTAGTGATGCGTGGAGTTGCGATTTGATCCGCCCATGATTTTCTTCCCCTGAATCCAGTTTGTTCCGGTAGGAGTTTTGCATCCAGTGCATGTTTTATTCTCTCCAGGATAATGCAATTTAAAATCTTAAACTTAACTTAGACAAAAGCATGATTCCTTACCACAGCATAATGTCTTCTAAAAAATGGTGTACGGTATATTGGCTAAACAAATTGACTTTCAGGCAGAGGATCATTGGTTCCAATTGCTAATCGGCACTAATCAGATTAGCTGTCAGTCCTCAAATAATATGTGTATCTCATAATGTGTTTAGTATAGTCGAAGTCTATCCCCGTTAATGAAGTGCTAACGTCTAAACTAAAAGAGAGTAAATGTTATGCGCTATTTATTTCGGAACAGAGACAACTTATTCTTAACTTTTCATACTTGTTATGCATATTTCATGACAATATCAGAGCGAAAGAAATGCAATTAACAGCAATAAAATAATGTGTTAAAGTTGACAAGATATACGGGAAGTAAGCATTTACATAAAAATAAAAGTTATTCTAATTGTCTAATTGCTCTTCAAGCTCTTTAGACTACATTCACACAGCTTTTGATGTTAACCAGTCTTCGGCCTTTTGATGAATTGAAATCTGAGTATTCACCACCATACTGCCCAAATGAAAATTATTGTAGTACTTAAAGCTGGTAAGGAAATAAAGTAACCTATGCCATTGCGACTGACATTGATTTATGTCTGTCTCTGCTTCTGTTTAACCTGTTATTCTATGCCTACTATTATGCGCTACAGTACTGATTTCTTGACATGAATGAATTCGGGTGTTTATTTTTCTCTCTCTCTCTCTCTCTGCATGTCACTTTAGGTAAAGCTTATGCACAAATTACTTTTCTGACGAAACAGTAAAAAGGTGGCGCAAATAAATGACGCCTTTTTATTAATTTTTTTGTTGAATAGCCTAACAGAACCCTTTCCTCATGTTTCTCGGTTAAAATGCAAAGGTGCTTCTACGATTTTACTGCATTTTATCGCTATTAACCTGAAATATGCCTTTTGGAGACAACTGGTATAAAGTTTTGTTTTACTTAAGCTTCATACCTGTTAACTAACTAGGTGAATCAGTAACCTAGAAGAATCTTAGATTTTGTAATCTGCAGTATGACTATTCACATTTTCCACTGGATCTGTATAGTCGGGGGCAGAGCGGTTAGGACTCTCGTCGGCCATACACATGGTCCGGGGTTCGATCCCCTGCCGCCGCACACCTGATATCAATGGTCGGCCTGGAAAAATTTGGGCTACCGATATCACTTGCTGAAAATGCCATGCTTGTACCAAAAATACGGTATGGAATCAAGCTATAATAAAAAGGTGTTTTCATGGCACTATCACTTACTGTGTTCCACCATAACTCGGCAGGGAATTTCCTTCGTTACGAAGGGACTCATTGAAGTCGTATAGCTCTTCTCAACTATCAAGGATAATAATGAACAATGGCGTTATTAACAATCGGGTATCATAAACTGGCTTGGTTCCAGCTCATTTAAAACTTAGCAGTTGGATGTTTCGATGTCGTACGGTTCAGATACTGCTGCATGATTTCAGTATTACTTGTGCTGTACTAAAAACCAAAAAGTGAACAATAATGAGGTTAAGCATACACTAATAGGTGATGAAGGTAATTTAGTTGAAAAGATTTTAGAAGTCTTCATGAAATAACATATTTGATTCGTATCTCGTGATGTCGTTGTTTTGACTCATAACATCAACCGAAGTTGGATAGCTAGATGCGATTCAATCCCTCTATTGCTTCCTAATTATTGCTAATAAGCTTGAAAATCAGATAAGTTACGATCTTCAGACTACTGACTGCCAACATAAAGATTATATGTAACTTGGTGGATGGTGACTAGCGCTGGTATCCAAGATGCGCATTCCGTTCTCAGCTGGATGTACCTACATCCCTCAGGGAGTGATGGTGTCCAGATTGAGGCTCGAACCCAATACCCATGGTTTGAAACGGCAAAGCGTTATCCACTAGACCACTTGTGCCACAAGAAAGCCACCTCGTGTGCATCAGATGTCACTTATTATTTATTTTTAACCTGATTTCGGTTTTTCCCGTTCATTGATTTGGAAGAAATGTTTGGACCCTGTTGATTTGTTGGCTCCTTGTGTGGATGCTTCGACGACGTCTGAGGATCAACTTGACGAGTACGAAATAGGATGAAATGCGCATTGTGCATCCCACTGTAACAACAGAAGACAAGGGCCAGGCAACAGATCGTTTTATTATGAAAATCAACACGTATTTATACATCTTTCAACTACATTATTATAGACAAGCGCAGTCATCTGATTGGTTGTTTAGGTAGACAAACGCAGGCTTCTGATTGGTTGTTTCGGGATTCCTTGACAAATAGAGTTCTCTCTGCGAATCATATTCTGCCACGTTAACTTTGCTGTGATTGGTTGTTGACTCAGGCTTGTTCATATTTTCTCACGGCCCATATTAGTGACCTAGACCTTAACGTAGATTAGTGCCAACCAATCGGCTAGCAGCCTGCTCTCACCACACCACTACTAGTCAAAATCCACCAAAATACTTGTGTGCGTTGGCGGCGCAACGGTTAGGATGCTCGCCGACCATGCACATGGTCCGGGGTTCGATCCCCGGCCTCGCTAAGCCAGAAATATTTCTGATGAAGAGGAAAGGTTGGGCATGAGGCTAGCAATCGCATTATGTAAAATAAACACTGCTGCAGAATTTTCAAGCCTGAAGCTTGAGACCCTTTGTCCCACTGGGAACGCAAGGGAATAAAATAATCCTCAGGCATCATCGAAGTATCCTCACAAGGATCTAATATGCTGACATAGGCCGAACAATTCGTTCCAACCAATCAAATGGAAAATCAAAATTGAATTAGAAATAAATAATAAATAATTTTTATTGAATTTAATTAATACTAAATGCTACCACACTTATCAATATTGTTTATGAGTAGTCTTCACTGTCAGTATATTATTGTCTAATAATTCTCTTTTCTTTATTCTATAATTTTTATTTTTTAGTGGAGAAGCCACTTTCATATCACTACAAGACCTCCGTCCTGGTACAAACTATTATGTAAAGTAAGTATTAAGATTAATGTTTACATGTTTATTTTTATTCTCCCTTGTGATGGTATGATTTTCTCTCGATTAATCCTTTTTATCCGCCCTACAATTTATATTGGTAAGCAGAGAGATTAGTACATTGGAATTTTTGTGTGTCTGTGAAACATGATCACTCTAGTAGTCGCAGTAGTAGTAGTAGTAAAGTATGTTATTCAATATATATAGTAAACAATACTATTTCATCACAGTATGTGGTATATTTAATAAACAAACTAATGTATTAATAATCAGTATCGAGAAATAATTTTTTTATCTCCAAAATAGGATATTTAGAAAACCTTTGAACACGTGGAATGTTTTGCTAACACGCATGAAATTAAATCCTTTTTCGATGTTAAGTAGAAAGACTGAACAAAGTTGTTAAACGTAAAACTTTGCATAATAAAAGCTGCAGTTCAACTCGATACACTGCATAAAGACAAAGGTGACGGGAAAATGGTCGGTAAACGAAAATCCACTTGAGTAGTAGTGTAATGGGTGTGCATCTGCACCGCTGATATCAATTTTCAGTTGTTTCATCAAAAGTCTCCAGTCATTAATTCTGGAAGACCACAGCCAGACAGTAGTCTACACCTCACTAAATGGCTGGTACAAATCAACAGTCAGTGTATGCTGGTATATTTTGATTTCACCACTTCAACTTCTCTCCAACCTAATCCTATTTTTGGTAACATTGTTTGATGAGAAGAGCGATGATCTATCATTCTTAATACGTGTTCTAGTCATCTCAATAGATCCCGCTTCTGCGTCTTACCTCACCATAGTAAATCGCCCATCATGCAAGGTAGGAGGCAAACACATAAGGCTAAATACAACTGGCCTTTTCATATCCTCTGCCTTCGATGGTCATATCTTACAGGTATAAAGACTGACTGAAGGAGCCTTTGTGCAGTGCATGCGTTCTTTGATAAAGAGCAGAGTATTTTTCCCGATACCCCAAAAGAGTGCCATTATTCGGCAAATGTCAGTTCTACTTTTTGTATCCAAGTTGGAATAACAGCTGTTTCGCCTGTAAATCTTGTTGTTTCCTTAAAAAATATTACTCGGGCGGAAGTGACCTGCCGGCCTGCGAAATTTGGGCTACCGATATCCATGCTGAAAGTTCCATACTTGTACAAAAATACAGTGTGGGATCAAGCTGTAAATCTAAAAATCTAATATCTTGAAAGCTTTTAAATCTCAACTGCGATTCCAGATACTGTTCAACAGTTACCGGGTTAGCAGCTAGGGTTGTTTCTTTACTAACGACTAATTTTTTGTATTCATTTTAATTCAGTTTTGATTGGTAGAAATTTGATTCCCATTGGCGTCATTTTTTTGTTGTATCCTCTACTTTGTTTTCTAATCTGTTGAAAATTTTGCTTGAAGAATGAAGTAGAATAATAATAATAAGACCGTTTATGCGGACTAGTGCTAGTTGTACAATTTTCAATTATATCGTCTTTGTCTACCTCCAGGTAAAATATTACTTAACAAATGATGAAAAAGTCTTGTTGAACCGTTCTTAGAAGTAGATGTATAAGCGTTATCATGTTTGCTGAAGGTATTTAAGAATTCCCCGTCGATTGATTATACTCAACCCAAGTGGTCTATCATTGTGAACATGTCGACTTCTATTGTGAACTCTATGACTATGTCTTTGAGGCTAGTGACTAGCAGTAGAAACCATGACACACGTTTCCTCCTATCTTGGACTTGTCAGTTAGAGACACCTGTACTGTACACCAGTGAGTAATAATGTTCCCCTCAAAGACTCGAACACTGAACCCATCATTTCAAACAGAAACTGGGTGCGATATAAATTAGTCAACCAGAAATGCAAAATAATGTAAAAAAATAAATAAATGATACCCGTTTCATAAGAAGGGATGCTTGTGACCCAGTGGCCTTCTGGAAAACGCCTTCACATTATAAAATGAGTGATGTGTGTGTGTGTGTGCGTGTGTGTGTGTGTGTAGTGGATGTGAAGATACATTCGGCTGATAAATCCCAGGTAGCACGAAACATGCAGCGTGGATGTTAGTTACTGTTAGCCACTATCAACCAAGTAATATATTTGTCACTATCATCATTATAAAACTTCATGAAAACATCTAAATCTATACAAAATAGCTGCCGGAGGGTTGGTTGCCTGTTAGCCGTCTGGTCTTAAATTCGGTTGTCGAAGTTTACCAATCAGGTGTGTACTGTGGTTACTGAAGTCAATATCATCATACTGATGCTCATTGTAGTGTAATGTTATGGAATCAAAAAAAATCGCAAAACAGCAGAAAAGTATTACTTCACAAATGCCTCAATACTTATTTAGTGGTAAATTGTTTCTACTACCCGACAGATGTTACTTATTAATTTAGCAAGTAGGTTAAGAAAGCTATGAAGTTGGAAAATACAAACTGTAGCGAACACATGTCAGATCCATCACTTTGCTAACTAGACTACCAGATTCAACTATAAGGGGATCATAGTTTCACAATAGTAACTACTGGAGAGTTTGACCAACTTGACGATTAGTGAGATGCGATATGGACGTTGAAGTGTCACACATTTACAACAAGATAAGGAATTAAAAGCACCACTTCTGAACTTAAAACTCCCATGGAAACTGATGAATTACTAGATAGTGCGCTTATTCCAAACTATGTGATGAAAGATTTTTGTGAAAAAAAAAAGTTAAGCAGATGCTTAAAACTTCTATTCTCCTGTAGATGAAGAACCAGGAAGAAATCAGTTGGCGGCGGTATACATTAAGATCCCCGAAACGAGAACTTTTCCTTCACACACCTTAGAGTCATCGGAGGAGATTATCCATAGTTGAGTATTACTACTACGTTTCTGCTCCTTATGTAATTACACTTTCACTTTTATTTGAGCTGTACTCAGTCAGTTACTCAAAGTACTAATTGAATATTATTTTAGTTTCTACCTGATTAATGCTTTCTGTATTACGGTACTGTCATCGAAACATTAATTTTAATGACACATCTTTGGAAACATTTCTTTTATTCCTATGAAAGTGTAGTACATATTTATGCGATTTTAAAACAGCTTTAGAATGATATCGCTGAAACGGATAACTAACTCTTCTCTGAACGCCTCTTCTTTTATAAAATTGTTTACAGAACTAAGCGAAATACGTGAATATTTATGCAACATCGCTTTTTCATCGGATCCTTCAATAGGAGCTTTTATACGTTAGATTATTTTGACTAAGCTGAAAAACTTGACTTCCAGATGATAGGTGCGAGGTTGGATTCCTACTTCACCCAACTAGACCTGGGCAACTGGATGGCCATCATCAACCTTCACACAATCAGTGTAGTTCATATCCTGATACATGAAAAATCTGTTCTAAAAGAACAACATCAATGATAATCGTAATTTTCAACAGTTACTTTGTAGGGATTTGATTTGCTTCAACTTTGATATCAGTTAGAGAACCACTGGTAACCACCATGGAGTACTAGACAGTTGTTTCGTCCTGATTTTGGGATTCCTTAGCAGTTCTTACCCACTACAGGGATTCAAACCCAGGACGTTCCGCTGACAAGGACAGCTTGTAGACCATTCAGCCACTGGTATCCGACCCAATTACCAGCCCCACGAGCTGTAAATTCCACCATTTCGTGGTTTTAGCGCCACTGACAGCAGCCAATGCCATCGGAGAGTATTTGTCGTCACTGTCAACTGGCTGAACCCCACTGGTCACGACTTTTCACTAGAACTGCAGACAAACTCGTCCTGTGGCGAGTCTCTAAGACCCGTCAATTTGATTTTCAAAAATTAGTTCGAACCTCTGTAGATGAGTACGCCCGATGAGTCCCAAACTAGAATGAAGCAGCTCTTCAGTACTCCCTGCTAGCTTCCAGTGGTGATCTAATTGACATCAGTCCGTGGTCAAACTTGAAATAATGGTTGGTGGTAGATAATGATCTTCAGTCACTAAGCCGACAAGTTAAGTCACACAGATACACACCCAACTTAGCAATCTTTAAAAAAAACCGTGAGATGAAATAAACAGGGTCAAAGTTCAATCATCACATAAAGATTGACTTTACAAACTAGGCTATTAGAAGCCTTGTGTAGTTTGCTTCTGTTGTTTTCATTTATGCTGATAATATTATGTTATACAGGCTGGAATTTAGCAAAAAAACAATTAAAAACGCCATCATAATCTCATACATCTCTTCGATAGACATTGTTAGTCTCAAAAATGAATGGTAATAAACCATGGTGTATACGCATCATCTTGACTTATGACATCATACTGACTTATTCCATGTGAAATAAAGTAGTGTGCATGTGTGTGTGAGTCATCTAATGAAAGTAAATCAAACTATATGTGTAACTGCTATTACAAGCTTTTCAATATACCAATGTACACTGTTATCGATGCTGGTTGCTAATATACCATTGATTGATTTAAGTATGAATCCGATCTGCTTAATCCGTTCATTTTTCTTTCTTCAGATTTAAACAACATCCGAATAGACATTAATAAATAAATCAGAATAACTTTTACTTGTCTAGAGTTTCTTTATAAGTCTTTATAAGCGAGTCGGTATGGGGACGATTACGTGTTGAGTTCTAATCGCAATGTGTGTGTGTGTGTGTGTATGTACACATATATGTTGGATAAGTGTAGCCCGCTAAGTGAATCAACATTTTGACAGATTATAGTTTAATTTATTACCAGACTTTAGTAATCAATTGTAGCCAAACTGTATCTCACTTGTACACACTAAATGCTAGTTAGTATTTTTAATAGATGTCTAAACAGTAATTTATTCTATGCTATATAGGTAATGCTCGATTTAGTTAAATGTTTTAATAACTATGATCAGTAAGTATTATTTTATTCCTTTGCGTTTCCAGGGGGATATAAAGCTTCAGGTTTTAACTTTGATGTAGTGTTGCCTTTTACGGGGTGTGGTTTCTAGCCTCCTGTCCAAACTTCCCTCTTTTACCGATCTTACCACCGATCAGGTGACGTCTAAGAGTCCATTGGCTGGGAACTGAACCCCGGATCACGTACATGATTAACGAGTGTTCTACCACTGAACTAAAGACGCAGAGAAGTAAAGAGGAGATCTGGTTGTGAACTGGAGACCTCTTGCCTTGCAGTCTAATGCTCTGCTGCTGACGTATACGTCACTTGACTGGGGGTGGGGGGGTTGGACCCAGGACCTTCCTGTTACAAGGCAAGCTCTCAGAACATTCAGCCATTGGAGGATCCTAAAGTCAGCCTATTATACACTTCTCCAGCCACTGACAAGATACATCCGATTTGATTAAATAGGTGTAATGACTTCTACATTAAGCAGAACTCTTTAGCTGCATAAAACAGAGTGAATTACCATATTATTGCTGTCTGCCTGTCTGTTTTCGATATAGAAATTTGCACCGAGGTGCGACAGTTCAAGTCGCCACACTTTATGTACCACACAAAGCAATAGAAGAAGGTAGAAGAAGTGCATAATAGAGACAGTAAACAGAGGTGTGAGACAAAGGAATAGTAGTAACGAAGAACAAAACAGTTTCATTGGAAATCATAAGTCACAAGGAGTGGATACATCTGCACCATCCATTGAGAACGATTTTGAGCCATGTCGCCAGTTGTTTCCAACTACTGGTTTTTACCGTCCCGATGACCCCAACCACTCAGGAAGTCTACACCTTCCTACGTGGCTTAGACTAACTGTTGTAGATTTCATTGACTGGTGTCATGTTTCTGTTTGACTACCGCTAGCTTTTTTCCTGCCTGACCCTATGTCAGCTAACATTGCCCGTCGAGGAAGGGGATGACTGGGCATACGTAACACATGTTCTAACCATCTCAGTCGATGTAATTTCACAGCCTCATCGATTGATTTCCCCTCCTTACCTAGCACTCGACCCATAACTTCAATATTGTTCACCTTATTATACCACTTAACACGAGAGATAGAGCGCAGGCAGGCATATTGTTGCTATTATTAAGTCAATTGCAAATTGTACTTTACTTAAAATTATACTATTTATAAAAAACACTTTCATAATCTCTCTACTATTTGTTATTTGTTTGTTTTTCTTTTTTTTCACCTTTCTGTTTTTTTCTTTTTTTCCACAGAGTATGTTGTAACTATGCTGGAATACGTGGAGATTTCAGTCCGATTGCACATTTTGTTACATTACCATCTAAACCAAATCCACCACGTACCATACAAGTAATATGTCAGACACGTAATTCATTACACATAAAATGGGGACCTGGTATTGACAATGGTTCACGTATCACATCATACAAATTGGAATATGCTCAAGTATCAACAAATTCATCTGAAATGGGAATGGATAAAAATGTAAGCTGTTTACCCAATACGTACATGTCGTGTGTGTTTTTGTACTTGTGTGTGTATTACATATATGTATATATATATGTTAGGGAAAAGGTTAGGGTCGGAAGTTCAGCGGTAGGATGCTAGCCAGCCACGTCTGTGGTTCGGGTTTTGGTTCCCGACTGGCGAACACCTTCAGTCACTTGTCAGCCCGACAAAAAGGGAAGGTTGGGTGTGAGGCTAGGAACTATTTTTTTATAATATATAATGGATAAAAATGCCTTATTTATCATTTTTGGTGCGACTTATTTTCATTTGAACAGATACGATTAAACATTTGAAGGGTTTCATAAAAGCATAATATGATATTTCTTTACTTTGTTTCCTTTGAGTTCCTAGTGGAACATAAGGCCTCAAGCTTCAGATTTAAGTTTTGGTAGCAGTGGTTCAGTTTTCACGAGATAAGTTGCTAGCCTCACACCTAGTTTCCCCTCTCTACTGGTCTCACTACCAGTTGAGTAAGGAGTGCGTTGGGGATCGAACCCCAGACCAAACATAGCTTGGTTGGCGAGCATTCTACCCCTGAATGACTGGTGCACATAATATAATAAGTGTTGGTTAATATTTTCTAATCAGTTAATGCACATTTTAGAAATCACGTTCGTCCCGAAATAGTCATATGACTGGTCAAAAAAGAAATACAGCCTGTATTTGCGAATTCATCCAGGTAGGTAGCTGGTCGAAATTCGGAGAACATCTCTTTGGGTTGGTTAGCTCGATTTTAGGCGAGTGATGAAATGTGAGTTCAGTGTTTAGATCATCTCGCCCTGATTGGTGAGCACTACTGACTATCGTTATATGTTATTATACCACTGGGCTCCGAGTGGAATATAGGGCTTAAATAGCACTGTCCTGTTCTCTGTAGTCCTCTCCACCTGGTCCCAAGATTTCCAATAATGTATAATCCCATCGCCGTGTGACCCCCTTCATATCACAACTGGACACTCAACTCATCATCTCCCATTCGGGTCCCAATCGAGCTGAGACTTGGCATGCGATGTCATTCGACGGTCTCCTCAGCGTATATCTGACCCATCTCTATTTCATTCGGGATATTTACTGGGTAAAAGGTTGTTGTTTGGTTCGTTCCTAGAGTTTGTTGTTGATACTTCTTTCTGACCGGCCACATCACAACTTCAGTATGGAGCCAGCGAAGTTAGGTGTTGATAAAAGTCTGCAGCTGGATGTTGGAAATGCTTTTTGTAACACCGACGCCAAGTTTCAGACCCATAAAGAAGGATTATATCGTGTTTTAAAGTGACTATACAAGGCTATATGATGGTAGCTTGAAAATTATCAAATCTTTAAAATTTTTAACAGCTGTGTATGACTAGGTTCATCCGGTCAGAAATATTGACATTGACTTTCCTATCTCTTCAGTTTTATCCTGTCTTTCCCGTGTGTGGGATTGTTTTCTCTTCCATATACTATGGATTTCTTAATATACTATTCTTTCAATAAATATGTAACAAGTTGAATGGATACACCTTTATATACCAAGTGGTAAATATTGCTTTCGTATTTGTTTTTCTATATTATTGATTTTTATATCAGATTTGCTCGACGAATTTTCAATAGATTTTGTTTGTTACTTTAATAATTAGTTGAGTATATTAGTCAATAGACTTTTATCACTAACGATCTCAGTATGTCTCATTCAATCGTAATATGACGTAATATAACTTTCAGGTGGTGAAGAGTTTATGTCTATATTAGCATGTGAACGGTACACGTAATGGTGCGCTCCTGTCTGCTGTTGATGTTGTTGTTGTTGTTTTCTCCCAAGCAAAGTTGCCAGTTCCAATATAGTTATCATTTCTGGAAAATAGTTTGAGGTGGTCATACCAGGAAGTGGCACCAATCCATGAAGTCATTGACTACTTGATGTACACTTTACCCATCTGAGGCAGTCACTATGGTAACAACTAATGGCTCAACATAGTTTTCAGTGGCACAAATGTTTAGCAAGTAAAGACTGTATTAGTTCTCTTTCTCTTTACAAACTTGCTCTAGGAAAATGTTAGCCTATTTTTAGATTTTTTAAGAGTTGTTCAATAAGCATCGAAAACTTCGCTAGTAGAATACTCTACCACAGTGCCTAGATTCTGTTCTTGATAAGATTGGTAGAAAGTGGATTAAAAGTATATAAAAGAGGAGGGGAAGTCTTATAATCAGTTGGATGTTCTCTGACCAAATGAGGGATGACTGCAAATGTTTTCCATGTTGTTTCACAAAACTTCATTCATCAATGCCATCTCCTCGCTATTCGATACTCTTAACTCTGACATACATATATGGATCTATATGCTACTTATAAATCTTGTCAGTAGCATATACCACACCAAAGGCCCCAACTATAAGCAATAGATAAATACGAAAACCATTAGTCAGTCTCAACAGGATGTGAGAATCTCATATGGAAGAAAGTATCTTTTTCAAGTTACAACTTAACGGTGTGGTGTAATAATAATAATAACAATAATAGTAATAATAATAATGTGTGTGTAATTCTCAGACATAACTGGATGATGAAAACAATACGTAGTCTATGTAAGCAGTGGGAATTGCTTTCTACTGACTGGCAAGAACTATTCGGTGGACATTCCATGGGTAGAATTTTGCCTGTCAATTTTTGGGAGGACGAATTACAGTCATTCAAACTAAGGATAAGCTGGTTAGTTCTACTACAGCCAACTACATTTCTCTTAATTCAACCGATCTTGTGATAACAGTTATACTGGCTGAATTATTAGGCAGTTTAACCAGCATTTCACAGAAAATCTTCTATCGGGGTTGGATAAAGGATGAATAAGTGCTATCGACTCTATCGATCTAGAGGTGCTATAGCCATGCTTACCTGTGAAGGGAGTTCCAAGAAAGTAAATCTGACTAATCAAGAAATTCTACTCGAACTCATGAAGCTGTGATATGGTAGCAACGAGTGGTGGCCATCAATGATGTCCACTGCCCCCGTTTTTGTTTACTTTCATCACAGGTGTACTAACGGAATTGGACGTAGTTAACTTCAAAATCTAGGGGATTGGCTTGTTACCAGGATGCAGTCTTGTTGCCTTGAAGTATAAGGATGATATTGTTGGTATTTTATCTCCTATGTTTATAATGGTTTAAGCCAGCCATGTAGCGAGGTGTATACTGTCTGGTTGAGTCCTCAGGATGCTAAGAATTAATTGTTGAAGACTACTGGTGATGTGGCTCAAAATCTGTCTTAATAACTGAGACGCATTCACTCTTTGTGATCTCCCATATCTGTCAACCCATAGTGTTCTTCCCGGTTACCATTCTTTCTCCTGTACATTTGGGTTTAGCGTAGTTCTTTTGAGTCCCTCCTTATGCTATATTTTGTCTACCGTTGTATGCTATTTGGAGTGTGAGAACTTGAGCTTCTGTGCAAAGTTCAATGCTGAAACTGCATTCACTTCATCAAAGAATATCCTAAGCTCTATTTATTTCCATCTTTTTGATAGTAGTCACACGGTGGAAAAAAACGGAAGCATTTAAGATGACTTACAGTATCCTATGAAATCTCTTCACTTCACTTCACTTCATATTCTCCCACTGCATGTGGCTGAGACTATTAACATTCAAACTAATAATCTTGGATTAAGTATTTGCAAAAAGATATCACAGTTATTATTTTCTTCCGCTGACCAGAGAATGGGCTAACTAATTTTACCTATACTGTTAGTTTGAAAATCCATATTATTTAAGAAAACAAAAGATATTCATAGAAGCGTGACTCTGTTCAGAATTTCATTTTCTAGCTGTTTGGCAATCCTTCTTTAGCTTTATTATATCTTCATTCAGACTCGGGGTTTACCTTATTTCCTTACAAATTTTATCACGTAATGTCATAATTATTTGTCCTCTAAGTCTTTTATATTATGACTCTTATATATATTTTTGTTTGTGCGTAACTATTATGTTTTCTTTCACCCCACTTCTATTATCAAATGTATTTCTCGATTTTATTCGTTTTTGTTGTTAAGTTACACACTGCTTAGGAAAAATATTTTCCTGGTAGAAATTTAATTAACTTTTGACATAATTGGTAGATTAACATATGTTAGGGTCATTTACTGACCAGATGCTGTCATATCCAATAGTAATTCTTTAGTTGCTTTCACTTCCATTTATTGAATTCATAAGAAAAACAAGTCAACATTTGAATATCACTTTTGTTTTGTTATAAAATCTAGTATTCAACAACTTTGATATCGATTTCCCAGTTGACATTCGCCTACTTTAAAAACTGAACACAAATCAGTCTGATGACCTGAATCTTCTGATTCGCCATTAAATCTTAACCCTTGTTCTAACTGAAATATGATTCATTTGATTTTATTTAGATCAAAAAAAGAATTTCATCTGGGCTGACAGGTTAATCATATGATGACTAATCTCGGTCATCCACAATCAACTCTATCCAACCTACTCTTTCACACACACCAACTGTCTCACTGTGTTTCTTTCCGCCTATTATCTATTAACTTAGTACTATACATTATTAAAACAATTAGTCCCTTTGATAAATTTGAATAAGGCATTAAGAAGACAAATTTGGCGAGATGATATCGTCATTTCGTAGTTTCTTTACAACCGCTTTACAACTAACATGGTTAACAATGATAAAATAAAGTTCATAACAATTACTCAGTTAAATAAAAACAAAGGTACATACTAATGACCAATCATATTAAGATAGGTCATGCAGTCCAGGGTAGGCGAAGATTGAAGTATATTGATTTTCGTACACACAGTTTAGGCTGTATGTGATTAATCCAAAGTGCTTCCATCACCTTCAATAACCTTGAATTAGAGTTATGTGAAATAATTGTGAAACAGTCATTAATATTGATTTTGTGACCAGACATTAATAAGTGTTTTGCAATGGATGATGCTGGATTTCTACTAAGATTAATCGCGTTAGGATTTTCGATATGGTT